TATACCTAGCCAGCTGTTGCACCACCTGTTGATATGATCTTTAAGCATGTTAGACACCAGCTGAACCATCCACCTACAACAGCCTGACACACATCTATGAGCTGTTAAAGAGACGTGATTTATTCCTAGGAGTCGCATCAATATTAGGTATCAGTGTTAATTTCACCTTATTAATAAATACACTAATTCTACCTAGGGGGTTAGGTTAGGTTAGGTTAGATTAGATTAGGTTAGATTAGTTTAGGTTTATTTTGGTTAGATTAGGTTAGGTTAGATTAAATTAGATTTGATCAGATGAGATTATAAATATTAAATTAGATGACATTTGCTTAGTGATAGTTTAGGTTATATTCAGTTAAGTTAGATTAGATTATATACGATTAATTTAGATTAGGTTAGAGTAAATTAAGTTAGGTTAGGTTAGGTTAGGTTAGGTTAGGTTACCGTCAGGGCACAGACTCATCGGGTGACATAAGCTGGTGAGTCTAATCGTCTAATCTTCGCCTAATCTCAAAGATAATTAACACACATACACACACACACACACACATAGGCTCCACCACCACCACTACTACCACATAGGCTCCAGTACCACCACCACCATTACTACCACACAGGCTCCAGCTCCACCACTATTACTACCACATAGGCTCCACCACCACCACTATTACTACCACATAGGCTCCAGCACTACCACTACTACCACATAGGCTCCAGGACCACTACCATACTACCACATAGGCCCAGCACTACCACTACTACCACATAGGCCCACCACCACCACATACTTACCACATAGGCTCCAGCACTACCACTACTACCACATAGGCTCCAGGACCACTACCACTACTACCACATAGGCTCCAGCACTACCACTACTACCACAATAGGCTCCAGGACCACTACCACTAATACCACATAGGCTCCAGCACTACCACTACTACCACATAGGCCCAGGACCACTACCACTACTACCACATAGGCCCAGCACTACCACTACTACCACACAGGCTCCAGTACCACCACCACCATTACCCACATAGGCTCAAACACTCCACCATTACTACCACATAGGCTCCAGCACCACCACCATTACTACCACATAGGCCCAGCACCACCACCACCATTACTACCATAGGCTCCAGCACCACCAGTATTACTACCACTTAGGCTCCACCACACCACTATTACTACCACATAGGCTCCAGCACCACCACCACTATTACTACCACATAGGCTCCACCACCACCACTATTACTACCACATAGGCCAGCACCACCACCACCACACACCACATAGGCCCAGCACCACCACCATTACTACCACATAGGCTCCACCACCACCACCATTACTACCACATAGGCTCCAGCACAAACCACCAGTACTACCAGCCCTTAGGCTTCCAGTACCACCACCACCATTACTACCACATAGGCTCCACCACCACCACCATTACACCACATAGCCCAGCACCACCACCACCACACTACCACATAGGCCCCAGCACCACACCATTACTACCACAGGCTCCACCACCACCACATTACTACCACATAGGCCCAGCACCACCACCACCATTACTACCACACATAGGCCCAGCACCACCACCACTACCACATAGTCCACCACCACCACCATTGCTACCACATAGGCTCCAGCACCACCACCACCATACTACCACATAGGCTCCAGCACCACCCCACATCACATACAGGCTCCACCACACCACCATTACCACCTCATAGGCTCCAGCACCACCACCACCATTACTACCACATCGGCTCCAGCACCACCACCACCATTACTACCACATAGGCTCCAGCACCACCACCATTACTACCACATAGGCTCCACCACCACCATTACTACCACATAGGCTCCAGCACAACCACACCACCATTACTACCACATTGGCTCCAGCACCACCACCACCATTACTACCACATAGGCTCCAGCACCACCACCACTACTGCCACATAGGCTCCACCACCACCATCACCACCATTACTATCACATAGGCTCCACCACCACCATCACCACCATTACTATCACATAGGCTCCAGCACCACCACCACCATACCACATAGGCTCCACCACCACCACTATTACTACCACATAGGCTCCAGCACCACCACTATTACTACCAAATAGGCTCCAGACCACCACTATTACTACCACATAGGCCCAGCACCACCACCATTCTACCTCACATAGCCCACCACCACCATTACTACCACATAGGCTCCAGCACCACCACCACTACTACCACTAGGCTCCAGTACCACCACCACACATTACTACCACATAGGCTCCACCACCACCACTATTACTACACATAGGCTCCACCACCACCACTACTACACCACATAGGCTCCACCCACCACCACACACATAAGCTCCACCACCACCATTACTACCACATAGGCTCCAGCACCACCACCACTACTACCACACATAGGCCTAGTACCACCACCATTACTATCCACATAGGCTCCAGCACAACCACCAGTACTACCACTTAGGCTTCAGTACCACCACCACCATTACTACACATAGGCTCCACCACCACCACCATTACTACCACATAGGCCCAGCACCACCACCACCATTACTCCACACATAGGCCCAGCACCACCACCATTACTATCCACATAGGCCCACCACCACCACCATTACTACCACACATAGGCTCCAGCACCACCACCACCACACTACCACATAGGCCCAGCACCACCACCACCATTACTACCACATAGGCTCCAGCACCACCACCACCATTACTACCACACATAGACTCCAGCACCACCACCACTACACCACACATAGGCCCAGCACCACCACCACCATTACTACCACACTAGGCCCAGCACAACCACCAGTACTACCACTTAGGCTTCAGTACCACCACCACACTACCACATAGGCTCCAGCACAACCCACCAGTACTACCACTTAGGCTCCACCACCACCATTACTACCACATAGGCCAGCACCACCACCACCATTCTACCACGGCGCAACCACCATTACTACCACATAGCCAGCACCACCATTACTACCATAGCTGCAGCACCACCACCACTACTACCACATAGGCTCCAGTACCACCACCACCATTACCCACATAGGCTCCAGCACCACCACTATTACTACCACATAGCCCACCACCACTATTACTACCACATAGGCTCCAGCACCACCACCACTATTACTACCACATAGGCTCCAGCACCACCACCACATTACCACATAGGCCCACCACCACCATTATTACCACATAGGCCCAGCACCACCACCACTATTACTACCAATGGCCCACCACCACCACTATTACTACCACAGGCTCCAGCACCACCACTACACACAGACCACCACTACATGCCCAGCACCACCACCACTATTACTACCACATAGGCTCCACCACCACTATTACTACCACATAGGCTCCAGCACCACCACCACTATTACTACCACATAGGCTCCAGCACCACCACCACCATTACTACCACATAGGCCCAGCACCCCACACTACTACCACATAGGCTCCACCACCACCACTATTACTACCACATAGGCCCAGCACCACCACTATCACTACCACATAGGCTCCAGCACCACCACCATTACTACCACATAGGCTCCACACCACCACCACTACCACATAGGCTCCAGCACCACCACCACTACTACCACATAGGCTCCAGTACCACCACCACCACACCACACAGGCTCCAGCTCCACCACCACCATTACTACCACACAGGCTCCAGCTCCACCACTATTACTACCACATAGGCTCCACCACCACCAACAACAACACCATTATTGACTATTAGAACACCCTTGTGACTAGCAGTAGTTAGGTGACGCACTAACTGTGAAGAGATGGGTGAGGGATTTAGTGAGTGGGGAGTTCAGAATGACTGGGGATTTAGAAACAGGATTTAGAATGACTGGGGATTTAGAAACAGGATTTAGGAAGACTGGGGATTTAGAAACAGGATTTAGAATGAGAGGGGATTTAGAAACAGGGTTTAGAAAGACTGGGGATTTAGAAACAGGATTTAGAATGAGAGGGGATTTAGAAACAGGATTTAGAAAGACTGGGGATTTAGAAACAGGATTTAGAATGACTGGGGATTTAGAAACAGGATTTAGAATGAGTGGGGATTTAGAAACAGGATTTAGAATGAGTGGAGATTTAGAAACAGAATTTAGAAAGACTGGGGATTTAGAAACAGGATTTAGGAAGACTGGGGATTTAGAAACAGGATTTAGAATGACTGGGGATTTAGAAACAGAATTTAGGAAGACTGGGGATTTAGAAACAGAATTTAGAATGACTGAAGACCTACCATACCATTGTTTTGTTCTATACTGTCCCAACCATTCACTCGTCATGGTAGTTGTTGTAATAGTTTATGATGTAGCAGTCAGGATAGTGATGGCAGTGGTGGCGTGGTAGCCATTAGGATAGTGGTGATAAGTGGTTGTGAGAGTGGTGATGGTAATGGTGGTAGTTAGGTACTGTAATAGTATTGGGTAGTGGTGGTGAGACGATAGTGGTGGTTGTGGTGATGAGGTAGCAGCCAGGGTAGTGGTGTGGTGTGGTAGGAGGAAGGTAGCATCATGGTAGTGGTGTGGTAGTAGGAAGGTAGTAGCATCATGGTAGTGGTGTGGTAGGAGGAAGGTAGCATCATGGTAGTGGTGTGGTAGTAGGAAGGTAGTAGCATCATGGTAGTGGTGTGGTAGTAGGAAGGTAGTAGCATCATGGTAGTGGTGTGGTAGGAGGAAGGTAGCATCATGGTAGTGGTGTGGTATGGAAAGGTAGCATCATGGGGGAGAGGCAGCTGGGGTAGCGGCAGTAGCAGCGGCAGGAGTAGTGGCGGGCGGCGTGGCTGGGGAGCGCGGCGTGGAGGGCCAGAAGGAGCGGCGGGCGGCGGTGCGCGCGTCGGGACGGTCAGGTGATCAATAGCCAGGCAGCTCGCGGCCCCGGGTGCGCCGACACGACGAAGGAGCAGGAGGAGCAGGCGGGGGCCGGGCCAGTGACGATGGTGCCAGTGTGATGCCCAGCAGGGCCGCCGAGACCCGCGGGCAGGAGACCCACACCACCTCAACACTCGAGCCTCACTAAGGCCTCCATACTGGACTTACTGCCAACATGAAGCGACGTATCGGGTTCGGTAACGACGGGGAGTTCATGTCCTATTTGCTGGACGTTACCGACCGCTCTCAAAGGTAGGTGCTTTGTGGCGCCCTGGCAAGGAGGGGCTCTCAGATATGGCGAGTGGCACAGCGGCTGTGGGCGCTGTTTTACGCCAGCTGGGAGGCCTCTGAGGATTGTGCTGGGGGAATTAGGAGGCAGTGGATGCTGTTGGAAGCTGAGGACTGTGTGGGCTGTAGTTAGGGAGTGAGAGAACACTGGGGGATAGGGGGGGAGAAGAAGGGTTGTGAAGGTACAACCGTGGTGGCCGTGACGTGGCTGATGGTGCACAGTGAAGTTATCTTAAACGCCGCTCCTTGTTGACTCTTGACGGCGGAGATCAACACCTGAGTGCGAGGTGTGTGGGCAGCCAGGACACGTAGCCATCACCCATCCTTACATACCTCAGTCTTTCCCACCCATCTGCCGTTTCCCACCCACCTGTTCATGCCCACCCACCTGTCTCTGCCCACCCACCTGTCTCTGCCCACTCAGCTACTAATACCTGACCAGGTTGAACAAGTATCGTGTATCAGTGATCCTCTGGGATGTTCTCTCGTATAAATCAAATACCTTCAGTTTAGTTATTGTGCTCGCGGGGTGACTGTGATTACGTGAGGGGTGACTGTGACCCCTGGCTGTTGACTGTGGAGGGGTGACTGTGACCCCTGGCTGTTGACTGTGAGGGGTGACTGTGACCCCTGGCTGTTGACTGTGAGGGGTGACTGTGACCCCTGGCTGTTGACTGTGAGGGGTGACTGTGACCCCTGGCTGTTGACTGTGAGGGGTGACTGTGACCCCTGGCTGTTGACTGTGAGGGGTGACTAATTACGTGAGGGGTGACGGTGATCCCTTGTTACTGGCTGTGGGATCGTACAATTGTCCGTGACCTCATGCTATTGACTGTGAGCCCCTGAGACGTGACTGTTAATTGTGACCCCCATGGAATTTGACCTCCTACAGTTAGTTATTAAAACCTAAAGGTGACTTGAGACCAAAGGGTGACCGTGATTTCCTGTGTGTGTGTGTGTGTGTATGACCGTGATTTCCTGTGTGTGTGTGTGTATGACTGTGATTTCCTGTATGTGTGTGTGTGTGTGTGTGTAGTGTCCTTGATGGTGTATTGAGTACGTCTGGTATAGGTGAGAGGTTCCGTAACTACTGAGAAGGTGTTGACAGTGTCTTTGGTTGTCTGTTGGTCATTGTCTTTGTGTTATGGTGGACGTAACAGCAAGTTGGCTTTGTGTTATAGCTGAGTGGTCGTGGTGTATGGGTGTGGCGATGGTGGTGGTGATGATGGTGGTGTGTATGTGTAGTGGTTATAGTGATAGTGGTAGGTGGGTGTATGGTGGTAGTGATGGTCGTGAAGTTGGCGGGCATAATGGTTATAGTGGTGGTAGTACATGCGTGGTGTGTGTGTATGGTTATGGTAGTGGTGGTGTGTGGGTGTGTGTGGTGATGAGGGTGGTGGCGTTAGGGTGTGGGTGGTGGTGCGTGTTTGTGTGGTAGTGATGCTAGTAATGGTGTTGCTTGGAGGGATGTATCGGTGGTGGGTGGTGATGATAGTGAGTTGGCAGGTGTGGTGGTGGTGATAGTGGTAGTGGTGTGGGCGTGTGTGGTGGTGGTCTATGGCGTGGTGGTGAAGAGGGTGGTGGCGTTAGGATGTGGGTGGTGATACGTGTGCGTGGTAATGGTGCTGTGTGGAAGGGTGTAATGGTGGGTTGTGGTGTGTGTGTGTGGGCAGATGAAGTGGTAGCGGTGTGTGGGTGGATGTGATGATGGTTGTGGTGATGTGTGAGGACGATGGTGACGATGGTGATGATGGTGATGTGGTCTCTTGCAGCCAATAGATAGATAAGAATTGAACTATTACTATTTTTATTACTATTATTACTATTATTATTATTATTATCTTGATGTAACGTGAAAACTTGATCTTGTGATGTGAAGAATTTATCTGGTAATATTAGGAAGTAATTTTATCCAGTTGGGAATTTATTTTTTTAAGAAAATAATCGATTTATGGGAATTTCGTATCTTGTTTTTATTTGAAGTATTTTGGGATTTCACTGCATTTATGGGAGAGTTTTATATAGAGCTGAGATTGTTGTGGGTGTTACTGTTGTGTTGTGGTGTTATTTTAGTGTTGTGTTGTGGTGAGCTAACTTTGTGTTGTGGTGTGTTATTGTTGTGTTGTGGGTGTTATTGTTGTGTTGTGGTGTGTTATTATTGTGTTGTGGGTGTTATTATTGTGTTGTAGTGTGTTACCTTTGTGTTGTGGTTGTTATTGTTGTGTTGTGGGTGTTATTGTAGTGTTGTGGGTGTTATTGTTGTGTTGTGATTATTATTGTTGTGTTGTGGGTGTTATTATTGTGTTGTAGTGTGTTACCTTTGTGTTTTGGTGTTAACTTTGTGTTGTGGTGTTAACTTTGTGTTGTGGTGTTAACTTTGTGTTGTGGTGTTAACTTTGTGTTGTGGTGTTAACTTTGTGTTGTGGTGTTAATTTTGTGTTGTGGTATTTTAATTTTGTGTTGTGGTGTGTTAACTTTGTGTTGTGATTTGTTAACTTGGTGTTTTGGTGATAATATTGTGTTGTGAATTGTTTTTAATTTTTGTATTTGTGGTGTTAACTTTGTGTTGTGGTGTTAACTTTGTGTTGTGGTGTTAATTTTGTGTTGTGGTATTTTAATTTTGTGTTGTGGTGTGTTAACTTTGTGTTGTGATTTGTTAACTTGGTGTTTTGGTGATAATATTGTGTTGCGGTGTGTTAACTTGGTGTAGTGGTGTGTTAACTCTGTGCTGTGGGTATACTAAGCTTTTCGGTATACAAAGAAGCAGTCTACCATCCTCACTTCCCAAAAGTAAAAATCAGGTACCCATTCATAACCTGGGTCGACTGAGGGGTGCCCAGAATGCGAACCAGCGACCATTAGGACAGAATTCGAATGCTGTATCTACTCGGCCTTGACACCTGTTTGATGTTAGTGCATGAATTTAAAGAGCAGCTACGGGAGGCGTCTTTGGGGCTGGGGATTTTTAGTGAACGAGCTTTAATGAGTGAAAGATAATGGTATATTTTTTGGGTGTGGATTAAAAAAAAAATTATTGATGCCTAGAAGAAAAAGACATTGGTGATGGGAGATATTAATCTTGTAGTTTATTATATTAGAAAACTCAATGTTGTTAATGATCTTACCAGTTGGTTAGATAGGAGTTACTGTAAACAAGGCTGTGTGTGCTTTCTCCAATACTGTATTATATCTGTTCACAATATTTAATGATATTTAGAGAGAAAAGTTAAAGTTAATAAAAGGTTAATGATAAAATAATGTAAAATAGTCGGTATAAAAATGATATATTGTTCATATTATAGATATTGAAGCGCAATTACCAATATTAGCCAATGGAAAAGGCGAACAGTGTTGACTTAGAGTTATTGATGTAAAATAATATATCCAACAAACAGGGTTGGGGGGGAGGGGGCGAACACAAGTGGTAAAAAGAAAATCCTAGAATGATAAATATGGTATCCATCAGGGAACTAAAACAGGTGGAAAGCTGTGTGTGTTTGGGAAGCTGCTGTGATGAGAGAGAGAGAGAGAGAGAGAGATAGAGAGAAGGGGGGGTGGGGATTGTAGTTTTGAGATAAAGGCTACTGGTATATATGTTCAGTTGTGGACACTTACAGTAACATAAGGAGAGTAGAGGTTATCGTTATCTGATGCTACAGGAGAATGTTAAGGAACAAGTTATACTGATAGATAAACAATGTCATTATTATTATTATTATTATTATTATTATTATTATTATTATTATTATTATTATTATTATTATTATTATTATTATTATTGTTATTATTATTATTATTATTATTATTATTATTATTATTATTATTATTATTGTTATTATTATTATTATTATTATTATTATTATTATTATTATTATTTAGAGGAAAGTGAGAAATACTGATAAATTTATAAAATACGAATCATAAGAGACTAACCATATAATTAAGTATGAGAGAATAATGGTAGAGATTTAATGAGTAAAAAGTGAGGGTAGGAGGGCCAAGGGAAGGCAGAGATTGAGATGGAGGAATGAAATATATAAGGATTGGTAGAAACAGCCCTAACACCCTTTTGTATGGAGGACTGTGGTCACCAACCCTCAGAAGAGTGTGTCACCTTGATTAAATAATGTTTTATTAGAGTTTTAATATATGTTTTTTTATATTAATTAAGAAAGTTGTTAATTATTTATTTTTCCCGAGGGTTGTAATTTAATCTGAAAAAATTCACGTATTGTAGAATTGTTATAATACAAAGGATACATAATATTAACTCGATTTAAATACAGTATAATTATAACTGGCAGAATTTAATCACTTTGCAACTGATAATAAAGTCATTTTGAAACGTGAAATTAAAAGTATAATTATTAGAAAGAAATGAGTTTATGGCTCACAATTTTGACTGTGTTTACCATTAAAACGTCACATAGAATTTGCATATTGTTTCAAAACCGTAATAAAAAAATAAATAAAAGAAATGGCAAAGTCAAGTTATTTTCACCAGGAGTTTGTATAGTGTAGTTGGAGGGGTGGTGGCGGGTTATTTTCAACTGCACGATGGCAACACTGCATGGATCGATTTTTCGCGTAAGAGTTGGCAATGCTGTTTCCCTTCCTCTCGCTGGACACTCAGAACTCATTCACTTGTGACGTCACTTAGAGGCTGGTTACTTTATTTTAACCCTATTGTCTCTATAACAATTTTAAATCATTTTAATTCTGAGTTATCTTAATTCTAACTCATTTTGATTAGTTTTAACTCCTCTTTACCCTAATACTCTCTCTAAAACAGCATCAGAACCCATCTTTATACCTGTACGCTCTCTAAAACAGCATCAGAACCCATCTATACACTTATACTTTCTCTAAAACAGCATCAGAACTCATATATACATTTATACGTTCTCTAAAACAGCATCAGAACCAATCTTTATCCTTATACTTTCTCTAAAACAGCATCAGAA